TTCTAGAAGACACTATAATGACTTATACTCTATCCCGTGTCATGTATACAGTGCCCAGATGATGTATGTCAAGTAAGCAGTCTTGAGTTACCAAGAGAATACCAAATACTTGGTTTGAGTTTTTTCAAATTTACCATAACACTTTGGCTATATAAACTCAATCTACATCTTACCAATAAATGAACCAAAAACGGAGTTATTTTCTGTAACTGGGAAATACACCTTAAAAGTCTGAATGAAGCACTACAGTGATGCAAAAGACATGCAAATTTCCTATGAGATTTTGTAGAAAGCTATCATTTGATTTTCTAAAAAAAGAGATATTTATAAACACACAGTAATAAAAGGAAATTTTTTAAATGTTCACCTTCAATTTATCTCATAGGTCACTGTTATACCATCTAATAAGATAATTAAAAACATGCAAGCAGCTGGTACTACAGCTAAACAGATTAACGTAATAGTCCGTCGTCATATGTGCTGGCAAGGGGCTTGCTTCTTTTGGCGAGGAGAAGGTCAGCTGCCCTTGCGAGGGGGTTGGCGGAAACGGAACAAGTCTTCTTCCCAGTGGCCCTGTGCTACACACCCTGTTAGTCACCTTCTGCACACTGACAGGAACTATTTGTGCACTTCCATGGCCTGCAAGGTCCTCTTTTAATGGTTTCATAACAAATAAAGCTCAACATCTGACAGAAGATATTAACATTGCTCTTTAAAAAGTATAAAATAGCATCTATAAAATCAATGCCTCTTCAATTCTTAGAAAATTTCCATTTTAGCACATTATCTGCAAATTAGGAGATATGCAATAAAATTTGAACAAAAACTTCTAAAACAGGTCATTGCATATCAACCTTCTGGTGCCTTAAGGAGTTAACTACGGCTATGCTCTAAATCTATTTGAACCAATGAAGGAAAACTACGTGAAGATACAAAGTTACAAAAAATATGTATGCCTACAAGCATTAGGCATTAGTTATACTTAAGGCCCATTAATTTTAAATTTCAAAATTATCTGTTAGATTTCCAGACATTCATTTATGATTTTATTAGTGCAACAGTTTCCCTTCAGCTTTACTAGTTGTACAATTTACTTTACAAAGGCAACATGAAACATTCTCAGAGAATGAACTCAAGTCTCAGGTTAAGTTTCTTTGTAGATTCCCTTTCTGTGAATGCACAGAAGTTATTTTCCTATAAAACAACAGTATCAAAAGAGTGAAAAATGATGACCATACCAACAAAGACATTTGCTGGGACAAAAAATGAACCAAGAATTACTCAGCACTGAGCACACGACACCTCTCCAGAGTGCATTCCTCGTATCAGCTGCATCTTATTAATGTCCCTTCCAAGTGAGGATGAGCCTGAGACCTGGCCAGAGTCTACAATGCATTTGGGATCAGTATTTCAACAAGTATACAATATTTAGGTATTTTTTTTAAAGGAAACCAACAAAACCTACAGAGTATGGCCTCTTGAAACCTGGAAACCTACTAATATAAAACAATAATAGAAAAAAAGATTATCACCAGGCCTTCGGAAGAACCTGGAATTTCAGCTATATGGGAAGCTAAGGCAGGAGGATCAGCCTGAGTAACATAGTGAAAGCTTGTCTCAAAATAAAAAGCAAAAAGTGGGCTGGAGATGTAGCTTAGAGGTGAGTGCTTATCTGGGTGTGCTTAGGCCCCCACGTTATAAAACCCAGGGAGATAAAGAGACAGTTCAGTGGTTAAGAGAACTGGCCTCTCTTGAGTTGTTTCCACCAGCCACATGGCAACTAACAACCATCCATAACTCCAGTTCCAGAGGCTCTGACCCGCTCTTCTGCCTTCCGTGGGAATTGCATGACATGGGTGCACTTGCATACATTGAGTCAATACACTCGTACACATAAAATAAAAATAATAAAATTTTAATTAAAAAATATACATGCAGGCAATACACGCATACACATAAAATTAAAATAATAAATAAAACTACAGTATATGCTACAAAAGGGAACAGGTGTCCAGTGATGAATACTGAAACATTATCAATTTATAGGGCTAATCACATGTAATGCCATGGTTTGCACTGAGATATTTTAAAGGCTTTATTCTATGTACTTTATTTCAATCCATTAAAAACTAGTGAAAAGAAGTTGGAGAGATGGGTTAGCAGTTAAAAGCACTGGCTATTCTTACAGAAGACCTGGGTTTGAATCCCAGCACGCACATGGCAACTAACAACTGTTCAAAAATCCAGTTACAGGGGATGTGACGACCTCTTCTGTCCTCCAGAAGCATTGCATGACACGAGTGCACTTACATACATGCAAGCATAACACTAATGCACATAAAATAAAAATAAATTGAATAAAAAAAATGTTAAAAACTTGTGGAAGAAGTCAGCTTAAAAATGCACTCCAATTTAATAAACGAGTGACAGCTAGCTCTTATCCAGGAAATCAGGATACACAGCTTGAAGATGACTGTGCTAGGCTTAAGGCCTCAGCTGCTTTAACTATCAAAAAAGGTCAGAATTTCTGAGGGAACTTAAATAACACAATGGTGCAATTTTTTAAACCCAGGGTTGTTGAGTGGTAAATGTACATTTTCCTGGTAACATCTTTCAGGTACATTAAAAAGAGCTAGGATGATAACAAGACCTCACATTTTCAAAAGCAAATTTTACTGATGATTTTGCTTCCACTGTAATGATTCTACAACAATTTCTAGGTTTTGTCAGTAAAACGTAATATGAAAATATACCCTATAAATGTGTTTCAATGAATTCAACATTTAACTCAGGTGTCAAAATCATAAATAAGCTAATTATAAGAGAAATTGCCCACAGACTTAAAAAAATCCTAATTTCACACCTTAAATGCTATAATACCATTTAATAGCAGTTTGGCCTGCCAACTATTAAAAGCCCACTTTCACATACTGTACTACCTGAGCTTTTTTTCTTGCCTTTTAATTACAATAACAAGTTAATATCTTAACATAACAATGAAAAGTATTAATTTAAGATATTTAGTTAACAACACAGGTACTCATTGTAAAAAGCTGCAATGAGTTCATTTTCAAAATTTAATTATTCAATATTAAGATATTTTAATATTTAAACTAGTCAAAGACAAAATAAACTATAAGATAATGCTGTCTTTATGTTAAAACATTCTTCTCAGTATGTTATAGTTACTAAAATTAGTTAAACTATGTAATTTTACAATAAAATGAAGGACATGTTCTCCTTGCTAGAATACCTGCTTTCCTTTTGTTTTTTTTTAATTGCATTTATACTCAACAATTACATTACAACCAGAGATTTTCACATATATTAACCATTCCTCAGTTACTTGCCAAATTATAAATATTTACTTAATTATTATGTACATTCACTTTTCATGGTGGTTGTTGAGATCAGCTGTGCCATGTCCAAAGAGGGGACTTGACCTAGTGTTTAATATGTCACATATCAAGTTTCATCTTATACTTAAAGACTAAAGAAGGATCTGGAGAATCACAACATTTATAAGGAAGGATGGGCTCAATGAAAATAAGATGACAACAGATGAGCTTTCCTGCTCAAGGTGATTAATACCTTTCTAGAATGCCACAAGAACATAAGCCTTGTAGAATAGCTGTGATGGATAATTTATAAGAACCCCACTAATATAAAATAAGAATATAAAATATTTAATGTGCTAATATTTCTGGAATTTATAAACAAATTCCAGTGATTTTCTCATTTACTACATTCTTATTAAATGCCTGCTGTATACAGATCCCTCTGTAAGTGTTACAAACTTGCCTAAGATCTGAAGAAATGCATGACGTGGTTTCAGTCAAGGAAAAAGTATGTATATAAATAAAGTATCATATATGAACTCCAGATTCTCTTATGAAAGGAGATACAGCTTAATACTCAAATGTTTTTTAAATATTTTATTATTTTTATTTTGTGTGTATGCATGTATTGCCTGCATGTAGGTAAGTGCACCCAAGTTGTGGAATGTCCACGGAGGACAGAAGAGGCTGTCAGATCCCCTGGAACTGGGGTTACAGACAGTTGTTAGCTGGCATGTGGGTGTGGGGATTCAAACCCAGGTGTTCTGAAAGAAGAAACAGTGTTCTTAACCGCTGAGCCATCTCTCCAGCTCCAATACTCAAATGTTTTAGGTGCACATTATTCTTGCATAAACTTTAGTGTTGATAAACATTATTAGAACTAATCATAAGAACAATGTACTCCAATTAAAGTATTTATTCATTTATCTGCACTGCCATTTATAATGCTTAAATATACTAATACTGAATATGCAAGGTTTTATTCCTAAATGAAAGCAAAAGAACTTACAGTATTTTGGTTCATTATACAAACTTCAAATATTATCAGACATTTTCATTTTTCTTCTTACATTTTCATATAATAATGTACAAAATTAATAAACATTCACTTAACCAGAAACCAAGTCAGGATGAAACAAGTAACAACAAGAAGTAAAATACATGTTTTCTTAAGTAGTATATTACTTTTAAAGATTAATGATTGATATATAACTGTCCTGTTTTCTAAAGCGTCCAAACAGTATATTAACACATAGTAATTATTTCAGACAGGAATGCAGATCTCTTAGGAACTGCTGAGCACTAAGTAAATTATATTTAACAGCAAACTTAAAAATCTTTAATACATGTTATAACAAAACAATGAATAAAAAGACAATAAGGCATTATAATGAAGCTTAATACTACATACACATTTATTCCAATCACCCCACTATAAAATAACAACAGATATCTGTAATAAATCCATTTAGGAATTCAGATTGTCACCTTGTCTGTTATGTATTAAGCTTGCAGATCATAACGTATCACAACATTGTTTAATATAAGAAATATTTTTAAAGCACAGTTAGAAATCCTTTGCAATTCAAGATCATAATCCTATAAAATTAAGTGCTTCTATGTTATTATGTAAAATTGTGTTTGTGTGGCATTATCACCTACCTATATGAAGTAACAGTCCCCTCAGAGTCTATGGTGGGACTTGTTCTTCTTCCATTTTTATTTGAATCGCCTAAAAAAGAAAAAAAGAAAGAAAAAAGAAAACATTGAAGTAACAGAAATCACAGAACTTAGTGTTTCAGTTAAAAAACTTTGTTGCAGCTCTGCGCAGGGTCATAGTAAAAATAACAAGGGACTTACATTATCCCCTTACCTATCTCCCAAATTATGTTTTGTACTCGGCCCTTCAGGCAAAAAACCATTTGGGTGTCAACTGTAAACCAATAATGAAATTCCTAAATTGGATCGTAATACCACCAAAGTAACTGATAAGAAGAAAAAATGATGATACAGTTTCTTCTTATGAATCACAGACAAAACTGAAGCTCATAAACCATTTCATTACATACTAATGTTTACAAACAAAGGCAATCTTTTGTTAGTGACCAGATCATCCACTTTTACCACTGGTAGCCAAGAAAAAAACCCAAGTCTTCCTATCCTCCAGCAGTCTCTTGAATAGACAGGTCAAAAAGAGCACAGGCCTCAGGGAGGGTGATCAAGAATACACTTTAATGAACTTCACAGAATATCTTAATATTTCTTCCAAAAGGCTACATTGTAAACTGTTAACATTATCTTTAAACTGCTAAAAATGCAGCAGTATAAAACATGAAAAAATACCAATCAAAGGTTATTTGTGGTTTTTGCAATAACATTTAGGAAAAAAAATGACATTTGTGAAATCAAATTTAGAACAAATTCATGTATCAGATTAAATAATATATAACAAAATAAATTTAATAAAACTTTGAAAATGCTTAGCAATATTACAGTGTAAAAATTCTTATAGACAGAAACATTATTATTAAATAATTCAAAATACAGTTTTTATGAAACTAAAGTACACTACTGAATTTATCAGTTCTTCTTCAAAGCAAATTAAAAACCAGATTAAATTTTGTACTTGCAATCCCTACAATGTAACTTTCAACATCATTTTATACTACTTAAAGATTAATAACTTAAAGATTTGTTCGATTTCATTTATACTTCTGATCTACCCTGAAGAGCTTAAGGTTCTGCTGGAGACCATAGCAGTGGTCCTAGTAATAGTAATTATGGAGGTTTCAGTCTTAAAAGGCAATTATTTGTAGTTATTGAGTACAGTATTAAGATACCATGATTAAATAATTATGCTAACCATTTAATGATTGGAAAACTAAAAGAGTAATTTTAATGACAGCCACCAAATTTTTACACAGGAATACTGGTTTTCCTTAAGATCTACACAAGTATGGCCAATGTGTTCAAAAACTGAGAACTTGACTCAGTCCTTTACCAAACTTTTAATGAGATTCCTTTTTCAAAATATACTTGCAGAAGCTTTTTGCTTGCTTGCTTAAATCTTAAAATAGATCACAGCACTCCAAAAGGGTGACAAATTATAAACAGAAAATAATTGAGAATACGTAAATGTTTAATGTTTTATGCTGTCAATTATTTGCAAATATGGATAAGATTACACACACAATACTTTGTTTCCCTTAAAAATTAATAGTATTATCATAAACTGAAGAGACTTAAGGAAAAATATCTCTATTCACTAACAGAAATTTGCTGTAACACATGGTCTTTAACAGCTTGCAGACATTTCCTGGGTAGCATTCCACAATCAATACAGAATAAGCACTATATTATACATTTAAAATATGAGGCTTCTTTCTCCTTAAAATTAAAGGTTATAGTTATTAAATATACAAAATATCACCAACAGAATTCTTGTTCCTTTAAGCTGGTATTTATCAGATCAAATACAAAGGCATTTAAATAAGAAAAGTTGGGTTTTTTAAACAGTCAGGTTTTATGTTACAAAGGTTTTCTTCAGCTTATAATTGTTACCAACTGCAAATATCACATTAAATGTTAACTTTCAAATTGCAAAGGATTGTAATAAGGAAAAAAAAAAGTTTTTCTTTCTAAAAACATACCAAATAACGAGTGGAATTATTTCACTGGCAATATTTAGAGAAAATATTTCAGAGTTTGTTACGGGGGGAAGGCAATAAAGTTCTGAGGTAGGAAAAACCGCTTTGCTCCTTCAATCCTCTAGTTGAAATTAATTATAGCAAATGTTTATGAAAACATCTGTTCCTTACAATCATAAATTCTTAATTTTATTATGGACATTGCTAGATTTTTATTTTGAAAGAATCTAAATCTGACTGTTTTACTGGTTTACTGGTTTACAAAAAAAAGAGAGCATGTAATTCTGGAAAACTGAACACAAAATGTGCTACATTCTGCAAGAACTTTCATTTGTGTGAAATATTTGGAGGGGCTCTAAACCAAAAATTAGGAGAAATCAAGGAAAGAAAAGATCATCCTTCATTTAAACCGTTATATGATAAGAGTATATCTATAGTGTAAGAAAATACAAAGAATTATATGCAAATGCTACTTTATTACTGAACCTAATTTTCACTGAAGTATAAGAGTCAGTATTAATTTTACAAAGGAAGTAAATAAGTGCAATGACAATCAATCACAAGAACACATGTGTAGCATTCCTCCAAAATAACAACAGAGGGTGCAAGAGAGTTTAAGATGATGTTTTTAGTTTCTATTCTGATTCAGAAAGCAAGTTGTCAGGGAGCCAGTCATAATGAAACAGGAATACATAGACTGATTTATAATCATAGACACATACAAATACATTATTAAAGCAATCTTATACAAAGGCCTATAGATGATCATAATGCAAATACCTAACTATATTTTAAGATATTAAATTTCCTTTCACTTTCTTGAAAATTGATTTAACAATACAGACAAGTTTTAGAATATAAATTTGATTTTAAAAGCATTTCAAAACCTAATGCAAACTAATACATGAAATAATCTGGATTTTTGTTTGAAAAATTTAATTATATATATAAATTATACACAATTACATAGTATATATTTGACCTTAAGATATGTGATAACATTATACAACACAAAATAGTTTATAGCTACAGAGGTAATCACCAATTCTTGTGACCATAAATACTTGAAATTTTACAGTATTATTTTTTCATTAATTTGCAAGTAACTTAATAAAATGAGTTTATAACATTCACAATGAAAATAAGCTCATTGATTTGAAGAAAAACAATGCTGTTAGTTGTGTTGGTTTAAATGAAGATACAAAACCTCAGTATTTCTTAATAGTAATTTCTAGCCTGTATATATCCAACTTACGTCAATAATAATATAACTGTAAGTTAAGTTTCCAAACAGGATCAACAGACTTGGTACATTATTTTAGTTTTAACTACAGTCACGTTGATTTAACACAATTCACTGATTCTATCTGTGCACTGCTGAAATAATGCTAAGAGAAGGTTTACAATAGATGTCTGTTTTTTTTTTATATGCACACATCTGTCTGCTTCATAGAGAACTAGAAATTTTAAACTAGTTTAAGTTAAAAACAGAACAACACTGTAAATAAGTGCAGTTACTCAGATGCGTCTTTAGTTTACATCTAAAGGCACTGAATTTGCATAGTAAAGAAAGGTTTGTAGCTCTGTTAGAGTTTTAACAAGTCTGTAAGATTTTAGTAGTGTATAGGGGTTGGCTTGACTCAAATTATGATGAAAATAAAAGCTATGGGGTTTTAAAATGGCCGGAAAAGTTTTTCTGTCTGTTAAATACAGTAGCATGCACTACTGAATCTTTTAATTAAACTTAATATCCTCTAAGAAGTACATGATTTTTTTTTTAATCCACGACTAAAGTATAGTCATGTGTGGACACACAGTAAAGACAAATGCATTGTAGTGATTAAAGTTTCATGTATCAACACTGTAGCTACTGAAGGTATTACATCATTTTGAGAATTAAAACAAGCATCAGCCTCCGTAAGCTGATTATTTGTGCAAAAAATGCAAGAACTTTACCAGACCAAAGTCATTACTAAAGTCAATATAAAAAAATTCATGAATATTATGAGCTTCTATTTTCTCTATTATTGTTAATTTATTTGCACACTAAAGATGGTCTTATTTAGTTCTCTAAATACATACAATTTTTTATTTTTAATAATAAAAACTCATGCAAAACAGAAATCCATAGGGAGTATTTTAATTAAAAAAACACATATTTTCCTTGAGGCAGGTCACCTTGTACAAGAAGACAAGAAGCAGCACACACCACAGGGACACTTGGCTCAAGGTTCAGGGAATCTTCATGGGACCTTCAGTATTAGATATTTTGAACAGCAGATAAAAAGAGGGACTAGGGAGATGGTTCAGTGGGTACAGTGCTTGCTACACAAGCAGGAAGACCTGACTTAGAATCCCTAGTATCCATATAAAAGCTCAATACGGGCAGGTGTGGTTATAACTCCAGTGCTAGAACACAGACTGGCCCAACCCTGATAAGTCCTTGGCAGCCAGTGTAGCCAAATCAATGATCTCCAGTTTCAGTGAAGAGACACTGTCTCAAAAAATAAGCTGAGAAAAAATAGAGACATATATGCCATACATTCTCAAACACTCACACAAAATTAAAAAGAAAAGCAAAGAAAGGAAGAATTCAGAAAATAGGTGGGTGGTGGCCAGCCTAAGGTGCTGTTGATTTTCATGTGGTTGCAACAGTTTCAAAAAGACCCTGCTAAGCTGGTGGATCATGAGCCTATTACTCTCTGTGAACTGCACTCAAGAAACTCAAAACAAGTGACATGGGACTATATGTTGAATTCTGTAGTTTCACTCCAACAGAATGAACAGAATTTCCAACAGAATTCTGCCAGAGTACAGGAAAAGGTCTTTGAGAAGGAAATCAGCATCCAGCTGGAAACCACGTTAGAGCTAGAGTCTGTAGAGGAACTTAAGTAATGGCTCTAAGCAGCTTCACCAGACAAAACAGGAGTTGCACAGGGGTGGGGCCAGCACTAGCAACTGGATGCCTGAGGGACAACTGCCCAAAAGTGTGACCAGCATCTGAAAAGCCAACTGTGAAATGCCTTCTAGTGAGCAGACCAAATATGTAACTCAATCTCCTAAAGAGAGACCTGAAGGAAAGAAC